GTGATAAAATGGCACAGAATTACACACATACCATCATACCAATGTCAACTTCCTGGTGTTGATATTATAAAATAGTTATGTCACATGTAACCATTAGGAAAAACCAATGAAGGTAAAAACTTCTCTGTACTAGTTTTGCAATTTGTGGTGAATATATAATTACCTCAAAATAAAAAGAAGAGTTTCTGAAAATCTGAGGATAAGAGGGGGGGGGAAGACCTCGCTCTGTAAACAGCAAGGGTCTAGCCACTCTCCTTACTAGTTGTAGAGTTGTTTCAAGGACCAAGCATGATAAAAGACAGTTTTCAAAGTGGCTGGGCTCAGCCAGATACTGTTTTCTTTCCATCCATTGCCCCCATTTAATCCACATAACAACCCTGTAAGAGGAAATGCTACAGCCCCTTTGTACAGACAGGAAGCTGGGAGAGGTGAAAGCAGTCTGCCCATGATCAAACCGTAAGGAACAGAGCCACAAGGTAAACTTAGATTGACTCCAGAGGCAGGCCTCCTCCACAGCACTGTAACAAATATAAAGATGTTCAGGAAAAAAAAAAAAAAAAAAAAAGGTATCCATCAAAGTGTGTGCAAATGCCTGGATTTGGGTAGTTTGTTTTCTGTAGGGTTCTCAGAACTATGTCATGTATCTAGAAGGCTCTAGGACATAGTTTTTCCTATATTCTGGTATATATGGCCAGGGAGCCCTTTCTCTGCAGAACGTAATCCAACAGTCCCTCCTCATCCAAAAGTTACAATGTTTAGGGGCGGCTGGGCAGCTCAGTCCTTAAGCATCCCACTCTTGATTTCAGCTCAGGTCATGATCTCACTGTTCCTAAGTTCAAGCACCGATAGGTGATCTGTCAAGACAGAGCAGAGACTGCTTGGAAGTCTCTCTCTCCCTCTCTCTGCCCCTCCCTGAGCCCTCGCATGTGCTCTCTCTCTCTCAAAAATAAACATTTTTTTAGAAAGTTAAAATGTTTAAAATAGACTTACTATGGTGATCCTTCTGAAATATATGGAATTGTGTTATACACCTGAAACTAACATAACATTACATGCTTATTGTATTTCAACTAACAAAAAAAGGTAAGATGTTTAAATTACTTGATCTTAACCCACTTCTTCACATACTGGCCAACTACAAATGCTTCAAGCTGCACTGTCCAATATGGTAGCCACTAGCCAAAACAAGCTAATTATAAGCTAATTAGAATTAAATAAAATTTAAAATGCGATTCCTCAATCAGAACACCCACATTTAAGTCTTCAAGATTTGTTTCAAGAGCCACATGTGACCAGTGGCTACTCTACTGTAGAGCACAGACACAGAACACCTCCATCACTGGAGAAAGTTCTGTCAGACAACACTGGGTTAAAGATTTTTAACTGCTTTTTAATTAAAAAAAATTTTTTTTAATGTTTATTCATTCTTGAGACAGAGCATGAGCAGGGGAGGTGCAGAGAGAGAGAGAAAGAGGGAGACCCAGAATCCAAAGCAGGCTCCAGGCTCTGAGCTGTCAGCACAGAGCCCGACAGGAGGCTCGAACCCACGAACCATGAGATCATGACCTGAACTGAAGCCAGGCGCTTAATTGACCGAGCCAACCCGGCGCCCCGTTTTTGTCTATTTTTTAAAGAGCACTGGGCCTGTGTGAGTCCTCAGAGAAGGACCGCATTGTTTATTATACATGTAATTACCCCTATCCCTCCATAAACAGGGGCTAGGCCACAAATTCTGGATGGGTCTGGCTACCGTCATTCTGATTCCAAGGCACAGGGAAGGAGTAAGCAAAGAAGGGGAAAGTAAACAGCATAAAGAGAGGTACAACACGCAGTGAGGGGAGCATGCCTGACTGGGATTCAAGAGATCTGGGTTCTACTCCCTATTATGACAATGATTCATTAAAAGAAAAAAATTTTAACGTTTGTACTTGGGACTAATTAACTGTGACTTAATTAGACAAGTCACTTCACTACTCTGGGCCACACTTTCCTCTTCCACAATACAAATTTGAATTGGATGATCTCTAAGATTCCCTCCAAATCTGTGGTTAAAACACACGCACAGGAGAAATGAGAAGGTGAGAAATGAAAGAGATCAAGATCACTGCATACTGGTGGTGGAAACTGGCACTCCTGCCAGCATGGCACAAGTGTTATTCCTGATAATAACATCTGGCCACCACCAAAGGAGCAAAGATTTAATTCAATAAATTATTTGCAAAAAACTGCACTATTTGTAAGCAGCACCACAAAAAGCCTTACTGAGTCAAGTCTAAGTACAGTGGAGGGAATCCAGGACTCTGCAAACTTTAGATTTGAAAGACTTGTTCATTAACATGTAATAACGCAGATGGCCCAATATGAACATGTAAGTACATTAAAATCTTCCTAAAGAAATACAACAAATTATATGAAATCATGTACACACAGCAGAATCAAAATTCATATCCTCTCCTTTCTACGGAGAATACAAATATATTCCACCTGGGAACAGGAAGACACCAATGTTAGTAAAAATTTCTCTAGATTCCACAGTTAGGTAGTCCTACATGTTTTTGGGTTCGGCATTCTTGACTTCAGTGTGGGTTCTTGGAATTAAATAAATTCTCAATTTTTCTGTGTGTGCCAGAAAGGATAAACCGCAACGGGAATTCTTCCTTCTAACTACCCGCTACAGCACGTTTCTCACTTTTCAGAGGCACGGCTGGTCCTCTTTCCTAGGATCGTAAGGGAAAGAAAACCTTCCCCGTCTCTATCGAGAATTAAGTTTTCATACTAAATTAATAACTATTTCACCTCCGGATAAAAAAAGAACCACCATGAACTACGCTTGATATTTTGCTTTGCAGAAAACTAAAGCAACCTGTGAGTCGGGTCATCAAACTCATCAAAGCCCCACACCGTACCTGTGAATATTCTGGAGCCGAGGTGGGTTTAGATTAAACGCTTTCCAGCAAAGAAAACAAGAGGAAAAGGATTTTAGCGACAAGCCTTTACTTTAGGAAGGCAGGTTTTAGTACCCCAGCAGCTAATCCCACGCCAAGGACCGCGCGGCGCGGAAACCCTGGCGAATTTGAAAACAAACGCTGGTAAAGGCTCGGGGTGAAGGGCGGGGGGTGGGGGTGGGGGGAGCCGGGCAAGGGGGTTAGTAACTGACAGCTCGGCCTCGAAACGAGAAGCCTCAAGTAGGTCAGGCTGTGTCAACGGTTTGAAATCCGGAGTCCACCCCAGTGGGCTTAAGGGAGCAGAGCGGCAGGAGGTACGCAGGGGTCTGGCGTCTTTCCGGGCTAAAGGGGCGGGATGTCGGAGCCGAGGGAGACCTAGCGCCCAAGCTCGGGGTAGTTCGCCCGCTCTCACCTCTCTTGGGGGCCTTGATCAGAGGCACCCCTCCAGTTCTGTCGCCGTTTTCCTGCTTGTCCTTGTGCTTGAGATCGCCCGGAACGCAGGAGCCGGGGTCACCATCGGGGCCGCGGTGGTGATGGTGCTTGTGCCGCTCCTTGTGGCCCTTATGCTTGGGCCCGGCCGCGCTCACCGTCAGGGGAGAGAAGGTGAAGAGGGCCGACGTGCCCGGGGCCGGGAGCGGGGCGGCGACAGAGGGGCCGGCGGGTGCCAGCGAAGGTGGCGGCGGAGGCGGCAGGAGCAGAGGCTCAACAGGGCCTGGGACGGCTGGGGCTGCATTCGTTGGCGGCAGCGGCCCGGGATGTTGGCGGCTGCGACGCCGCCGGTGAGGGGGAGCGAGAGGGGGGTCCTGGCTCGGCCGCCCCCGCTTCTCCTGAGACCCCCCACTGCTCGCTCGGCGCTGCCGCTTCACTCCCCGCGGCGAGACCCCAGCATGGGGTTTCTCCTTCCCCTCTTTGTCCGGCTCCTCCTGCGCCGCCACCGCCCGTACTACGCGCACCGCTCCGACCTGCGCAGCCATTTCACCCACAAACACACATTTAAATGGCCCGACCGCCCCCCCGTCCGCATAGCGCGCAGGCGCCGCCCGCGCACGGCCCGCTGGGCATTGGAGTCTCTTCCCCGCCCTCCGCTTCTCGGCCGTTCTTCCTCCGGAGCCGAACATGCCGGAAGCGGCAGTTTCCGGCGCTTCCCCGCAGGCCTCGCCGAGCGAGCTCCGTGATAAAGCGGCCTGGGCCGCGCAGAGCCTCACGGGAGCGGTAGTTCCCCCGCGCCCCCGCCGCGTCCCTGGCCCTGGGAGCGGAGGGGCCGCTAGAGAGCGTGCGCGGAGTCACGCTTCGGGCGGCGACGCAACCGCCGCTGGGCCGAGAGTTGCCGCCAACTGCCTTAACGTCTGGAACAGTGTTCGTGGCTTTCAGAGCCCATCTGCGCGTTCCCTTTGCGGCCTTCGTGTCCCCTTGGTCATTTTACACGGAGTAGGTGGCCTCCGTCGGTACTTTTCAAATTCATATTCCTCTCCTGACCTTTTCGAGGAATCGCCGGCCTTTTATCCTTGGGCAAGCAACGAAATGAAGAGGGGAACTTGGTCATACGGAAGACGAGGGCGATGTGGGTTTAGAATATAATCGGGCTGCAGCGAAGACATTTTTTAACCTCTTCGTGGTCATTGCCATGGTTACAGGTCCCCGCGTAACAAGGCAGGTGCAGTAACGGCCGGCTGGGATCCTGGCGCGCACCTCGCCTAGAGCCACATCCCAGCTGACGCCTGGGAGGGTAGAGGCCGTCACTTCTTCTGAATCCGTCACTAGACGGAGAGCCCATGTTTTTAAACTTTTTGAGTAGGGTTTTTTTTTCCAAGTCGCAAGTATAAGGTTGCGTGAACTTGAGAAGTGTGCCTACCCCGGAACTCTCCAGAAATCGTCACTGTGCACCAAGGCTGCTGCCCAGAAATGCGTTCACAACTTCAGCGGCGCTTTAGATTTTCCCTAAGATTCTGTTCCTGTTTTTGGTCCTTGATAGAGATATGTGGAAACCATTGATTACAATAAAGTACTCAGAAATACCACTAGTGCCTGGAGTATTGAGCTAAGTGAACACTACAGTAGAGTTAAAGACAAAACAGTTTATTGAGCACCTATTGTGTACAAAGTACTACAATAAACAGGTTAACATTTTATCCAGTTTGCGCTCTCCTCTGGCTTTGTGATGAAAGACATTGAAGAACAAACGCTGTTTGAGTATTTTAGGTTCTAAGAGTTAAAAAGAAACTTATTCTAAACTTCAAAAAAAGTTAAATCATGAGGGGAACCCAGGGAAATCTTTTGTAATAATAATTACCCATTAACTTGTTACATAAAATTAGATTTGAAAAATCAGATTTTCTTAAAATAAGGCAGATCCATAATTTTATAGAAAGATTTTTAGGGCCCCTGGATAGCTCAACTGGTTAAGCATAAGACTCTTGATTTCCTCGCAGGTCCTGATCTCAGGGTTGTGAGAGCCTGGTGATAGCCAGAGCCTGCTTAAATTCATTCTCTCTCTCTCCTCCTCCTCCCTCATTTCTCCCCCCCTCCAAAAAAATTTTTAAACTAGTTGGATATAAGTTGCACATGTTTATATAGGACCTTTGAAATGAAGAAAATGCTACCAACAGGTAACTATTTTGTTGATTATTCTGTATTTGTTAATTGAAGAACTTTGATGGAAATTTATCAGAAATGTAGTTGAACATCCTGTTAGTTGGTATATCCAAATACAAAAATGATATTTACTATTTACGTAGTTTGTTCTCTTAATCACAACTTTTCCCTTTGTTATTACTCTGGTTTTCCACCTTTAGGAAGATGTGCATACTCCATTTAGGCAAAAAATAACTTCCAGTCATTGTCACGAGCAGTCATTTTGTATCATTTTTTTACCACAACCACAGGTCAGATTTTGTGAAACACTTGCTATTGTAAAATCTGGCAATGTAAACATTCAGTTGAGATCCAATTCTTACAAATATTTTCAAGTGTCTATTTATGTAGAAAAGTAGAATAAAAATAACTTCCAAAATCACAAATAAGTTCGTTCTAAAATGTTCTCATACAGCATTCTCTACATAAGCCCAGTTGACAAACTTGTTTCCAGTTTCCAACCCAATGCAAATGAGATGAAAATGGAAAATTTCCGGCACTTCTTTGAATATGGCTTTTCTAATACTGCTATCAACACATTACGGTGTCTCCGTTGTTGAAATTGTAACTATAGAGCACTTCTGTTACAAGCAGTGTTCTAGGAGTCTTATTTGCAGATGCACTTGCAGCTACATATTCCGGAGTTGTGTTAAATATTCCAAGTCGCCGGTGGTTTCCTTGGTCCTTTGGGTTTTGAAAAACGATTTGCGAAACCTGGGAACAACAATAACATGGAAAAGTTTTTTAGTGTAGAAATGAATACTTGGATTTTAGAGCGTATTATAATGTATGCAAGTACATGGATTTTTTTTCCAAAAAGTTAGGCAGCATGTTTGATCAGTGTAATAATTGATTATAAAGGCATATTAAGGGGGCGCCTGGGTGGCTTAGTCGGTTAAGCGTCCGACTTTTGCTTAGGTCATGATCTCGAGGTTCGTGGGTTCGAGCCCCGCGTCGGGCTCTGTGCTGACTGCCAGCTCAGAGCCTGGAGCCTGTTTCAAAGTCTGTCACTCCCTCTCTCTCTGACCCTCCCCTGCTCGCGCTGTCTCTCTCTCTCTCTATCTCCTAGAAATAAATAAAACATTTTTTTAAAAAAGGCATATTAAGTTAATGCGTAAATGATAACAGAATACTAACAACGCTTTAAATTTGTAGAACACTTACAAATTTAATAAAGATAATAATTGGATGAAGAACCCTGGTTATAACAACCTTTAGTAATTCAGCATATACAGCTTACCCTTGAACACATTCTGTTTAGCTTACTTTATTGTAAAAACATAGTTTTTGATATCTAGAGAGATAGATAAGATAACATTAAGTCTTCAGGTCGAGAGTAGGCTATTAGTAATTAAGTTTTGGGACATTTTAAGTTTTGCAGATTTTCAACTACATGGGAGTCAGGGGGGCATCCCTACCCCTACATTGTTCAAGAATCAACTGTAATATTCTTTTCTTCCCAGTTTTTTTTTAATGTTTATTTTTGAGAAAGAGAGAAAGCAAACCAGGGAAGGGCAGAGGAGACAGAAGATCCCAGGTGGGCTCCACACTGACAGCAGAGAGCCCGATGCAGGGCTTGAACCTACAAACCATGAGATCATGACCTGAGCTTTGTAAAGCTTTGCTTTACAAAATTATTATATTGAACTCAGTTATATTTCTGACACCTGGGTGGCTCAGTCATTTTAAGCATCTGACTTCGGCTCAGGTCATGATCTTACAGTTCATGAGTTTGAGCCCCACATCTGGTGAGCACGAACCCCGCTTCAGGTGAACACAAGCCCCACTTTGGGTAAAACAGAGCCCTGGGTGAGCTCTGCTTCTCTCTGTCTCACTGCCCCTTGTGGGATTCGCTCTCTTCCTCTCACCCTCGCTCACCTGTGCCCTCTCTCTCTCAAAAAAAGAAAAATCAAAAACAAAAACTCAGTTATATTTCTACTTTCAGCACAGAAAGCCCTCAATTTACTAAGAGATTGTTTGAAAAGCTTGGGAAAATAAACTAATAAACAATCGTGAACAACTAAAGTAATCACTTTTATTTATCTGTCTCCTTTAAACATTCCTCTCTGTCCCCTCTCTCTCCTCAAAAGAAGGAGGACAAGGAAATTGTGTACAACCAATGAAAACTATATCAGGATCATTTTTAAAAGATTTGCAGGTTGATAACATCAACTATCACTTCAGCAACATAGGACTTTTCTTTGATGAAGGTACATTTTCAAGGTACTCTGATACTTAACAACTTTAGGCACTCAAACTGAACAACAAATGCTTTGAAATACAAAGGGAGAACAGAGAATGGAAAACTTAAAAATATTCCAAAACCTTTCATTCCATCATCTTAGAAAATTGTGGGTATTGTATACTGTATAGAACTGATGGAAAGATCAGATAGGTATTTGTTGAAGTATCCAGCTCAATGCATGGCATGTCATAAACACTTAAGTGTTGCTTCCATCGGAACCACAAAAAAACTATACCAGAACTAGAAGAAAAGGAGGGTATGGAAGGAGAGAAGAAAAGAAGATAAAAACAAGAAACCTACTAATATTAAATTTAATAATGGTGATGATAAAAAAAAATTGGAGAAGTACACAGCCAAGTTCATGTATATTTTACTCCGCTGAGTGATAAAAAGAAAATAGAAGGTAAAATACTTCAGTTTAAATAGTTTCGCACGAACAATCACAAACTCGTGCATTCAGTCCAGATAGCTTGAGTGTAACTCAAGTGAACTGAGAATAGAAGTAAGAACATAATATATAAGTACTAAGTGAAATCTGAAGAAATACCTACATTCAGTCTTTTTCACTGATCAATTCAGAATAGTTTAGAACAAGAGCGAACTACCTTTTTTGGCATGTAGGCCAATTCAGGAAAAATAAAAATGTTTGTAAACAAAATTTTTAGTCAAATTTAAATACTTTTATAAGTAAATTATTACTACAATTTAGATTGCTTCCTTCATAAAAAAAAAGGGGGAGGAGGGGCTAGTGAAAGAATTGTTTTTAAGTAAGTAAATATTCAAACTAAGCATATTAATATGGAGACAGCTCTGTACTATTTTCTCTCCATATTAGATCACAGATTGTTGTAAAGTTAGATGGGTCATGAGTTACTCAAGTGGTATCACTGATGGGGAGAAAAGAAGGAAGGAAGAGAACATTTATGTTCCAGGCAGTTTGGTGTTTGTTTGTTTTTAATAGGTTATATGATAATATGTATGAATTTTTTAACTAAATGATTTCATAAGAATAACTTCTTTTTTCTAACATTTTAAACCTTGGAGTCCATATAATCTAGATAAACTTTTTTAAATGTTTATTTTTGAAAGAGAGAGGGCATTAGTGGGGGAGGGGTAGAGAGAGGGAGAGAGAGGATCCCAAGCTGTCAGCGCAGAGCCCAATGTGGGGCTCGAACCTACAGACTGTGAGATCATGACCTGAGCTGAAACCAAGAGTCGGACACTAAGCCAACTGAGCCACCTGGGTGCCCCCAAATAAAATTTTACAGCCCAAAAACCATATCCAAAGATTCTAGTTAAATATTTTGCCACGGTGAAATGGGGACCATAATCCAGGGATGGCAGGGATTGCTACCTGTGCAGCAGAACCTGTCCAGGAATTGCTTCTCCAGGAAAAGAATTGTACTTCAGCAACTGCCTACCCACTGTCGTTACTGTCCCCAGTCACCCTTGCCATTTAGATGCCAAATTCTCTTCAAGGGAATTTTACTGACATGATGTTGCCACTTCCAGGCCAGTCAGTACCTTGCGGCCAGAAGAGGAGATCTCACTTCTTACACCTTTTTCTCTCATCTTCTTAACACCCACAATGTGGACGTGGCAGCAACCCAGTTCTGACCATACAAGTAAGGGCGATACCACACAGCAATAATTCTCAAGGTCTCATCCCAAGGTACCCTGGGGGGCTCCCAGATCCTTTCAGGGGAGGGGGTCTGCTTTTACAATAATTTGTAATCATAGCCTATATTAGTTACCATATTTCTTACCAAAAAATTTATAGGTGATACTATCTTAAGTAGTATCATGAATTTTCCATCTAGAATAGGATGCTTAAAATAATATAAAATCATTTTGAGCTTATAGTTTATAATTAAGGAAAATGGGGCAAACAATTCCTTTAAACTGTCAGAATTGTGCTTCGGCCCCTCCTGTAGACAAATTATATAAAATTAGCTAGCAAGTGTTGTTCTTATGACCACACTTGCGTATTCTTTATAACTTTGATTAGATATGAACGGGAGTATCCTAGCATCTCAGAATTTCTTCACTTGGCTAGTCACATTCATTTACCACATGGCAATGTAGTCATTTGGTTACCTAGCTTTATTTTCTGCTTTCCTAGGCAATTCAGTCCTAGGAAAGATGTTAAGAGGTAGCTAAGGTCAAAAAGAAAAGGAAAACTTGCATGGAAAGAATATAAATATAAGGACCAATATATCAACCTTGAATCATATTTAAAGTCGTATCCCAGACTACACGATAAACTTTTTTGTTTTTAACCCTGCTGGAGAATAACACGCCTACATACCAAAGTTCAGAAAGGAGCTGGAATAATTTGACGGAACAGACTCTGCAGGCTTGTTTGCGGGGGATGAATTAGTGATACCTGGAGTCAAAAGAAAAAATGTAAGGGAAAAAATGAAGACCAACTCTGATTACTGTTTATCAGAACACATAACTTTTGAAATATTTCCTCGAGCGTAATTAAGGCTCCTGAATTAACATGTCACTATAAAATATCACGAAATACAGATGCTTATTTACAAATGGGTTAACACATTTTTGTGTGGATATTTTAAGTTTCTTTTCTTTGCAAACACATTGTATAGGAAGGCCCAACACTAAAGAAAATCACCAGAGGATTCAGGAATAGCTTCAACTACATTGTGAAACAGCTTAGCAGGGGATTCAAACTGTGGCTTTTGATTTCATTTTACTTTGCACTCATCACTCTTAAGATACTTTTAAATCATTTGTTTTCCACCTGAGTTCATCTATGGTTCTTCTTACAGCATCCTTTACTCCTGGAATATCTCCACTTTCCAGCCTACTTTTTCCCATTATAGAGGCCCAGAAGCTCCCCAAAACATTATTATATCACCTTGTTTTGCTATTTTAGCTACTAATAAGTAAACTTAAAAGCATGTTTCTCTCCCCAGCACCTTAATATATTCATGTATCAATTTCTGCCCAATTTTAAAAACAATCCAGTTTTCATATCGTCCTCATTTTGCATGTGCACTATTTAGCAGTGAAAAAAATAATTTCAGGTCTGTACAAACTTTCTGTAAAACTTTGTGTACAAACAGCATAGGATTAGGGAGAAATGATTAAATATTCACCCTTTTTTGGTTTTCAGCATTTTCAATAAGCAGCGTGAGGACTGCATCTATGTTTGTAAGCACATGGCTAATGCTAGGATTTGAGGGAAAAAACGTTTTTTGGGGAGATACCTTAGTAGGAAGCACTGCAGCACATAATGAATTTCAATCAGATTCGATCAACATATATATTTATTGAGTACCTATTACGTGCCAAGCATGGGGCTAGGCCCTGAGGGTAGAGACATGAATAAGCAATGAGTGAAGGTGAGAAAGTTAAGGACATTTCAATCATCGCTATGATGCTTGTGAGCTGAGAGCTGGATACATCCTACCGAAAGAAAACAGTTATGCCAACAGGAGGGAGTATTGTCTGTTTTTATAATGGGAGACAAAAGATTCTGCAAATAAATATATCAGAGGGAACTGCTATTTTGCATACTAGCTTGACATAATTTGTTTTTTTGTTGTTTGGTTGGTTTCTGTGTTTTGAAAATGTCCATGCCATATGGTTAAACTTAATATACTTGTAAGGACTTAGTTTTGTTATCAGGCTGTTACATAAACAAGATTAATTATCCTATAATTTACTTTTTTCATTTAATGAAATATCTTGATTTTTCTCCTTTTTTTAAATCTTTTTTTAAATTTTTTAAAATTTTTTTTATTTCTGAGAGAGAGAGAGAGACAGTGTGAGCAGGGGAGGGTCAGAGAGAGAGGGAGACACAGAATCTGAAACAGGCTCCAGGCTCTGAGCTGTCAGCACAGAGCCAGACCTGGGGCTCAAACTCATGAACCGTGAGATCATGACCTGAACAGAAGTCAGACGCTTAACCGGCTAAGCCACCCAGGCGCCCCTTGATTTTCTTCTTATGGCAGCTCCAGTAGAACTACATCATGTCACAGATACGTTTATGTGGCCTGCCCAGCATTAATTCCTCCTCCTTCTGATAACAGAACTTGACTTTTCCTTTAGGAAACCGCCCTGCCCCAATTTTCAGCCCCCATACTTCTGGTGAAGGTGATTCTCCCTTTAGATCAAGGAACTGACCTATGACCGGGGCTAGTTTTCAGTGGGTACATGGCCATGGTCATTCATACCAGTTAGGTCTGACCTCATTCCCTCTTGGTCTGTATCTATGTGTAACGATTGTTAAATATTTTAATAACAGTATGACACTGCTCTGCTTAATCATAATATACTGGCAATAATTGGTTCAAGGTTGGGCAAATGAACCAAACCAAGACCATCAGGCCAAATCAGCAGCACTAGTCATCAGACTATTGCTTGAGCAACCAGGATAGAGCTCATTTTCTTCTATCATCAGCCTGAAACCACACGGTAAAAGCCTGCCTATGAATGAGCTAACACAGAGTAACACAAAGGTGGAGATGTGGAATGAGATTGGGTCCTGATTATATCAGTTGAGCTCCTGGTTACAAGCCAGTGAACTCCCCTCTTCTGCTTCAGCTGGCTTACGCTGGGCTTTCTATCACTTGCAACTGAAGGGTATCTGAGTAATTAAAGTTTCCCAGCAAGAGTAGGCATCAGACATCATGGTCGATGGCTCAATTCTTGTCACCCTATGATTCACTTTCCACACAGCAGACAGAATGATCTTTTTAAAAAATAGATCATGTGGGCCCCCCGGGGGGGTCTGTCGGTCGGGCGTGAGACCCTTGATCTTGGCTCAGGTCATGATCTCACGGAGCATGGGTTTGACTTCCACCATGGTGGCATGGAGCCTGCTTGGGACTCTGTTTCTCCCTCCCTCTCTGCCCCTTCCCCACTTGTGCTCACACCTGTGCACACACACCTACACACTCACTCTCTCTCTCTCAAAATAAACTTTATAAAAAAGAAGAAAAAAACCACCTCATGTAACATCTCTGCTTAAAGCTCTTCAATCACTTCCCACTGCACTTAAAATAAACTCTAAACTACTTAACATGACCCATAAGGCTTTACCTACCTTCTCCCCCACCTCCACCATCTTGTCAGTCACCACACTTTATTGCTCTCTCTTAATACCCTCAGCTATGATGGCTTCCTCTCAGTTCCTACAACACACCAAACCGACACTCCAGAGCTTCCACAAATTCTGTTCCCTCTATCTGGAGGGCTCCTCTCCCCACATTTCTCCAGGCTGGCTGCTCCTTCATGTCCAGGTTGAATCATCGCTTAGATAGGGCCTCCTGGACCACTCATTCTAAAATAGATCCCTCTGTTACTCTCTCTTATAATTACCCTCTTGGCTTCCTGCACAACGTTTATCACCATGAGTTATTTGCATGTATCTGTGAATTTACTTGTTTAATGTCTGAGTCCCTAACTAGACTTAAGTTCCACAGAGGTATAGCCTAATACCTCTTGTGTTCATCATCATATACCCAGTGTCTTACAGAATGCCTGGCCCCTAGTAGGCACTCAATGAATATTCAGTGAATGAATGACATTATGTTTAAATGCTAGCTGAAAACAACAGATGAAGAATCCTCATATTATCAAAAATAGGACCAGCTTTAACTACAAACCAGTTAGAGATCCAGGCTAAAGGGAGAACATCTGGAATTCAAAAGTCATAAACCATCTGGAAGGGAAGAGGACATTTTCCCAAGCATAGGCAGATAAATCCAAAGCTTTGGGATCAGTTTTAAGGGCCAGATATTGTTCTTCATTTAGGGACAAAAGACCAGAGGATAAAGGCAGCTGAGAAACTGAAATTAGCCTAGACCTAGAGAATGATCTGCGAGGTCTTACTTAGAAATAAGACTCAGAGTTTCTGAGAGCCTCACCACATACTGAATCTATGCCAACCTTAATTTACTTCAAGTGTCCGTGTATTTGTTTGATATTCTGAAGATAGGGTTGGAGCTATATAAAAAGTTTTTTTCTTTTCTCTTTTCTTTTCAGAAAGAAAACTGGGTGTTTCATAAGCTAAGCTCTTCAAACCAACCTGTCTAGCTATCCAAGTTAGTCACTTCTTTGCTTTGGGCTGTTTTTATTTCCCCTATTTTATACTATAATTTCCTCTGAAATGTTTAAATTCTCTTTTGACTCACGTTAGAGGAAAGAGTATATTTTCCAACCATATTTTAGCCATCATAGGTGAGAAATCTGTTCACTTCCGAGATTAGGTGTGGTGTCAATAATGAAAGCAGGCAAGCACTAGTCTATTGATAGGGAGGCAGAGTGAAAACTCAGAAGAAATGGGTAAGATTCAGCTATAAACCTTCTTATATAGGCAATACCATAAACCACAGTTTCTCAGTGTTCTTTGTCGTTCCCTATCTCACCAGTATGATACCAAATAGCCATTGGGACCTTGATGATTAACCAAGTTAATCAAATTTATAAAAAGTATATCACAATGTTTTATATACTTCTAGTTGTAAATAAGGACTTCTAAGATAATCAATTTCCCACAGTTTCAGGAGTCTTTCAGTTTTGTTTTCATTACAAAATAAGCAACAGACTTTTATTGCTAATAATACTTGGCAAAAATGGAAACGTGTCAATACTCTGCTTGTTTCGTTATATCAACACATTTGTTTCACAATATGCTTTGCTGTGACTATTTTCAAAGAAAATACATCTGAGGTTAGACTGCTAGGAATTTTAAATAACACACTTGCATGACAGCATCTTAGAATGGGGAGAAAGTGCCAAACATCCTATTATTAATCCTGAAACTCCCCCTCTCCTGAGTCCCTTCTAGTATTAGTATTGTAGAGCGTAGCACAGTTCAAGGCCTCGAGGTGATTGTTCTAACACACAGGGCCCTAGCAAGGCTCTGTATAGGAATACTATTGTTAATTTTTTCACAGAGTGGTTATAAAGGGAAAACTACACAATTTTGGACGTGGTATATGTATTCTAAAAAACAAGTATAAAGAAACTTACTCTTTTTCACATTTCTCAAAATTTTCAAACTCTACAAAAACGAAAAGGGAAATGTTAGTTTTTTCTTGTTTTCCTGTGAAATCCAAAATACTTTAATCAAGTAGAAATATGGCCAGCAGTCAAAAGAAGTAACTTCCTTAAAAATAGCCATCAAAACACACAAATTTTTTTTCCACCTTGTTACGTTTAACTCAGTGCAGAGTCTCTGCTTGATTTTATCTCTGCCATTTTTCCATAAGAATCACCCTATGTATTTCAAAGCAATGTTTTCAAAATAGCTGAGGAACAAGATGGCGTTCCTACTTCTCTTCTTTTTAGGACCATTCCAGAATCCACAATGGCTTCTGAAGATAGCTGCGATACACAGCCATTCCCATCATAGCCTAGAACTTTGGCTACACATACACGAAACGAAATTTACGAAGGTCCACTCCATACTGTTACCATACCACTCCCTTCTCCCTCCACTCAGCAAATGCACCCGGCCTCCTCTATGCTGAGTCTCTAACTTATCTCTGCCAGGAATCTACCCAGATTTCTTCTTTTCTTCACATTTCCTCAGCATGTATATTTTAATCTGTTCCATGGTATTTTGTTCTCTTTCTATATTTTCACATTATTTCTCAGATAGGCATTCTATTCCAGTAGACTACCTGTCGTCTTTTCAAGGGCAGGAAGATATCCTATATTTCTATTTTCCTAATATGTAATAAAACCGTATTCTTCTACATAGTACCTATTTAATAAATTATTTTTGGAACATTTTTGTTCAAATTTTTAAACACAAGTCATTTATTTACAATTCAAAATATTGTAGTAAAAAATGCTCCCATCGTTGTTCTCCATCTACCCAGTTTCTAACCCTCCCCCCACAGATAGACATTACTTATATATCCCTTCCAGAGTCCCTTATGAATGTATAATGCAAATATAGATCATATTTTCTACCTTTTAAAGAAAAGTTAATAAATCATATATAAATACACTGAGAGAGTCTTCATTCTTTTTTTTAGCTATACAGCATTTCATTATATGCATACACTATGATTTATGATTTATGATTTATTTAATCAGTTCCCCTAATGATTATCAGTCTTGTTCCAATCAGCTGCTCTTATAAGTAACCTAATTCCCATCCTGACTCTGGCAGCAGGGGAGGGTGGAGGATATGAACACCTGCAGAAATGGAAAGCCTCTGGCACGTTTCTTAAAACTCCCATCTTTACCTTAGTCCTTGTGAAAGTTTTTCCAGGAGTCTTCGATGTCTGCTTTGAAGATGTTGAATTTTCCATGGTGTTAGGACAGCTAGCAGAGTAAGTCCTTATAGACTGAGCCTGCACACCTTTAAAAAAAATGTTTTGTTGCATAGCTTTTTTAAATTTTATTTTTATTATTATTTTTTAACTATTTAACTATTTATTAACTATTGTTAATGGTTACAATTTATATTTCCTCAGGATTTTTTTTTTCCTGTCAAGTTGGTTTCCATATAACAGCCAGTGTGTTGCATAGCTTTTTAAGCCTTTGGGATATATACAGTTATATATTTGGTAATTCTTATCTGGGCTTTTTTATGCATTGTTTTTACAATACATTTTGGGTGTTTTTAATGTATTATTTTTATCTTGTTTAATCATTCTTTATACCTTTTCAGTTTAGGTCCTACTTTATTGTTAATCTGTTAGAAGTCTCATTTTTAATAGCTTTTTAAGGGGAATGTACTTCTACTTACAATCTTCATCCGCAAGAAGGAAGGATTCCAGGGTTCTTTCTGGGAGTGGAGGGGGGGGGGGAGAAGACCGATCCTGATGTGGATCTGTGATAAGAAGAGAATACAACAAAGGAAAACAAAACAAATCCATCAATCAAAAGTTGTAAGTCACGATCCCTTTTTGGTTTTGTATAACTTTCCCAATTTTTCAATATTAACCCACAACAAGCAAGTAAAAAATTACTGAACAATAACTGGAGCCGCAAGAATTTTGTTCTTCTAGCTTTTTAGCCAATGAGCCTATGATTCATGAAAAACTTTTAGCTCACTTCGAAAAGTATTTTTCCAGGGGCACCTGGATGACTCAGTTGGTTAAACATCCAACTTGGGCTTAGGTCATGATCTCATGGTTCATGAGCTCAAGCCCTGCATCAGGTTCTCGGCTGTCAGCACAGAGCCCACTTCAGATCTTCCTGTCCACCTCATTCTCAGCCCTTCCCCCTCCCCACCCCTCCCTCCCTGGCCTCCTTCCTCCTCCCTCCCTCCTCTCTCTCTCAAAAATAATAAACATTCTTTTAAAAGGGGAAAAAAGAGAAAAGTATTCTTCCAAAGAAATTAAACTTAAAATTAATCAAGTTTCTAATTCCAACTACCATTTTACATAGAATCCTGGGGATAGAGTAACATGCTAAATAAAACCATGAGAATACAAACAAGAAAATCTGAATAGTCATAGTCTTTGACAAACGACCCATGCTCTTCTACAAATAAAGGGCATGAGAAGATATAAAAAGGAAGGAAAACTGTTACAGATTTTAAAAGACTTAACAAATCTGTAAACCAAATGCAGTGTGTTGTCTTTAATCCATATTCAAATAAACCAACTGTAAAAAGACTTTTTTGAGACAATTTGAGAAAATTGAATAAAATCTGGATATTAGATAATATTAAGGAATTATTGTTAACTTCATTGGTGTGATGATGTTATTATGGTAGGTTTAAAATGTGCTTGAGATTTACCATGATATAAAAGAATTTTAAATAATAGAGCTATTTCCCCACAATGTAAGTCTTAAAGATAGAAATGGTGTATAAGATTCTCTGTATACAGTGCTGAGTGTAATTATAGAAATGTCTTTTGAAAATGAAAATGTGGTTCAATGCTAGAGTTTTTACCTTTCTTTACAGTCTTTGGGTTCTTTAGGCCTTAGGACTTTCTCCAAAGCAAGTTCTCTTGTTTATTTCTTATACACTGGATGATGCAAAAGTAAAGTACAATACTCCTTTCCAGCTCCAAGTACAGTAACTGGCGTATAGTAGGCACTTAATAAATGTTTGGTAACTACCCTGACGTCACTTACCATGTTCCAGCTTGCCGTTAGGAAATATACTGGGAACTAACACTAATTTTCGATTAATGATATCCTGTCAAATATCTTCCTAAAATACCATTTTCATCTTACCTCTCCCCTGATGAAGAACCTACAATGCTTATCAGTTGTTGCATTAAACTGAAATTCTTTTTAAAAAATTTTTTTAATATTTATTTTATTTTTGAGAGAGAGACAGAGTGTGAGCTGGGGAGGGTCAGAGAGAGAGGGAGACACAGAATCCGAAGCAGCTCCAGGCTCCTAGCTGTCAGCACAGAGCCCGATGCGCGGATGGAAGTCATGAACCGTGAGATCATGACCTGAGCCGAAGCCGGACGCTTAACCAACTGAGCTACCTAAACTGAAAGTCCCTAAACTGAAACCCTTCTGCCTAATTCTCTGTGTGTGTGATAGCATACACATAGCAAAGTTTCCCACAATGACAGTGCAACAGTGGTCACTACCTATTTCCAAAACTTTCATCACCCTAGAAAGAAACTCTGTACCCATTTAGCAGTCACACCCCGTTCCTCCCGTATTAGACTGGCAACCACGAATCTGCTTTCTCTCTGTATAGAGTTCCTTGACTTGGATATTTCATCTGCCTAACTTTAAAATCCTGCAGAAATAAATAAATAAATAAATAAATAAATAAAATCCTTTAGAATCTCTCCACATTTTATCTACACAAATTTATTTTCCATATTTCCCAAGTAGAGCCTCGATTGCAATGAAATTAACGTACTCACCATTTCTCTCTACTCATCATGCTTATTGCTACCTTTGAAGTTAATGTTATCCTGATCCCTGCTCCTGGGATGTTGTTACCCTGATCCCCTCCTTTTTCCTCTAACTATATTCTTAAATTTCTTTCTTCTCCTCAGTAAAGCCTTTCCTAACCACTCCAATGATACCTCCCCTTTTTCCAGACTCCTAGTGATTATAATCAGTGGTTATAATACACAAATTACCAGTTAATGGTTCCAAGTATTGATTTTGTCTACCCAGTTTGCATATAAACATTAAACAGTAACGTTTCTTATATATCCTGACTATTCTAATCCTGTATAAAGAGTACGAACTTACTTAGGAATTTCTCATTTAGTAATTATCTAATAAAAATGATAATAGACAACATTTAATGAGAACTTATTTGACAACCACTGTGTTAAAAATCTTCATATGCATTATCTCACTTTTAACCTTTACAAAAATCCTCTAAGAAATGAGTCCTTTTATCTTCATTTTATAAATGAGAAAAATCAGTAGAGAAGTATATACTTTAACCAAGATTATTCATTTTAATAACTACTCATAGGCTAAGGATTTTAATTAAAGCCTCTCTGACTCCAAAGCCCATGCTCATTAATCTCTATGTTAAACAACCTATGTATAATCAAATAATATATTCATATGAATAAATATGTTAAGGGCAACTACTAGCTGTTATAATGTATGTAAAGTACATATTAGTGCCCCATAAATGTTAGCTGTGGTTGTTGTTATTCAATGTATAAAACAAGAGAAGCTCAAGAAAGTACTGGAAAAGCAACAGCAAGTTAAAGATCTAAAGAATCACACTGCTGGGCACTGGGGTGGCTCAGTTGATTAAGGGTCCAACTTCGGCTCAGGTCATGATCTCACAGATCGTGGGTTTGAGCCCCACATTAGGTTCTGTGCTGAATGTTTGCTCAGATCCTGGAGCCTGCTTCAGATTCTGTCTCCTCTCTCTGCCCTTCCTCCCCCTCGCACTCTGTCTCACTGTCTCTCAAAAATAAATAAATACAAAAAAATTTTTTTAAATAAAAAAATAATAATAAAGAATCAATTGCTAACCATGGTAAAGCCTATAAAACAGAAATGCTGCAAAGCTTTAAGAGATTCTATCTGAAAGAGGTTTTGCTTTTTTTTTTCCTGAGGAATATATATAAAGGAACAGAATTCTAAAACCCTGTGTTTACCTTGCCCTTGACAAAACAAAACTCCTAGCCTGGGAAAATCAGAAATAAATCAATAACCAGTGGTAACTATTATGGGAACTATGTCATCTCTTGAGGTGAATTACTCTAAACTTAATGAGTCATTCTTATAGTATAAATTCTTAAGGCTAAATGTCATCTAAAGTCAAAGGGAAATTTTTTACCTGATTTGGGACTCTGCAGTTTTACACTCTAAAAAAAAAAGAGAAAAGAAAAGTGAAAGAGGAAAATGTACACATATTTACAAACTTGAAGCAATAAAAGACATTTTAAAAATCATATTTCATATGCCTACAAAGATAGTTAAGAAATGTTGATCCTATTTTCCCTAATTTATAAATACACTCACTGAATTACGAAAAGACATCCTTAACTCTTAGAGTGCTCTGTTTTCTTTTTGTAAATTTCTTTGTTCTTTTTCTTTTTTTCAAAGCAAGCTTATGAATTTTTTTAAAAGTTATTAGTTTTTAAACCTTAGGTGTAATTAACACACAGAGTTATATTAGCCTCAGGTTTACAATATGATCCAACAGTTTATACGTTACTCAGTGCTCATCAAGATAACTATACTCTAAATCCCCTTCACTGATTTCACTGTCTCCCCACTTACCTCCCCTCCGGCAATGACCAGTTCTCTACAGCTATGAGTCTGTTTTTCTGTTTCTTTTTTTTCTTTGTTTTGTTTCTTAAAGTCCACATATAAGTGAAGTCATATGGTATTTGTCTTTCTCTGTCTTATTTCACTGAGCATAATACCCTCTTTTTTTTTGTCACAAATGGCAAGATCTCATTCTTTTTTATAGCTGCATGATATTCGTGTGTGTGTGTGTGTGTGTGTGTGTGTGTGTGTGTCTTTATCCATTCATCTATGGTGAATACTTGAGTTGTTTCCATATCTTATTATAAATAATATAATCCATAGCTATTAAAAATAATGCTGTAGTAAACATATAGATGCACATATCTTTTTGAATTCATGTTTTCATATTCTTTGGGTAAATACCCAGTAGTGGAATTACTAGATCATATGGAAATTCTATTTTTAACTTTTTGATGAACCTCCATATTGTCTTCCACAGAGGCTGCACCAGTTTGCATTTCCACCAGCAGTACACGAGGATTCCTTGTTTTCTATATCCTCGCTAACACTTGTTTCTTGTGTTTTTTATTTTAGCCATTCTGTCTGGTGTGAGGTGATCTCTCATTGTGATTTTGATTTGCATTTTCCTGCCAGTGAGTGATGTTGAGCATCTTTTCATGTGTCTGCTGGCCATCTGTATGTTTCTTTGGAAAAATATCTATTCATGTCTTCTGCCCATTTTTAGATTAGATTATTTGAGGGTTTTTGGTGTTGAGTTGTATAAGTTCTTCATATATTTTGGATATTAACCCCTGATTGACTATATCATTTGCAAATATCCTCTCCCAAACCTTATAGTGATTTTTATTATATCACAATGATTGGTCCTAAGTTGATCTTTTTTGATTTATTTCCTACCTGTTCAGAACATTTCCCAGGAAATTTAATTGGAGGTAAATTGTTGAAATTGAAGCTACTTCATGACATTGGAAAAGGAGTGATTGTTTCGGCTTTAGGCGTTGTTAAGATAAAGACCATTACATGTGGACATATTATTAACAATAAAAATTACTAATAAATTCAAAGTGTAATTAAAAAGAGAATATCTGCCTACCAGCATTTCAGTCGTAGGCACTTTGAAATGTTTGTTTAGTTATTACTTCTCTGATCTCTGAAATTTTAAGGTAATTGGTTCATAGAATATACAAATGCACTACAGATTATTGAAGTGTAGGTTTTTCTTCCAGAAGTGGGGAGCATTATTCCAAAAAGTTTATCTTAAATAATATGGATACGTCATTCAAAAAATTATTCTCCACAATATGTTATTACAGCTAACATAATGCAGCCTACCAAATGACTACTATGAACAAGCTACCTACTTAGGAAACATCTATTTTTGCTTTAACTGTCCTTCAGAAACCAGCTCAAATATTTCTTCTTTCACTAAGTCTTCCTTAGTCACTTCCAACCTGTAAGTTTCTTAAGGGCAATAATTGTGTCTTTTTTTATGCTACTTTATTTATTTGTGGGGTTGGGCAGAGAGAGAGAGGGAGAGAGAATCCCAAGTAGGCTCTGTGCTGTCAGCATGGATCTCAACATGGGGCTCAAACTGACCTGTGAGATCATGACTTGAGCCAAAATCAAGAGCTGGACACTTAACTGACTGAGCCACCCCGGCGTCCCAATAATTGTGCCTCACACATCTTTTTATTCCCATGTCCTCTAACACATTGTTTTATAAATCGTACCTGCTTAGTGCTTACTGAGTGGATAGGTATCAAAAATACAAGGAGCAGGACTATTGCTCCAATAGTTGAATCCAAATGAGTAGGAAAAAAAAAGAAAGTTATCGACTTTAGTTGGTCTAAGTCTTACAGAGTCATCAAATGTCTTTGACTCAGATGTTCCACTCCCTTCTAATGATGTTCCAGTTATTACCTTCACAGCTGAAGATAAGGATTTGGGAACATTCAGCGGGAATTCTCCTGAAAGAAAGTAAATATAGTCCAATTCTTAGTGTTGTAATTCTTTTAGAAAGCAGACGTTACTTAGCAATAGCACACAGAACATTGACAGGACCTGAAAAGTAATCCAGGTAATCCACACTTCATTTTACACTTATGAAACCGTACTCACCGGCTTCCTCCACCACAATGAAAGATTCAGGGGTCCGTTCTGGAAGTGGAGGGGGAATTTCATCATCTATCCTTGGAGAAGTTCCTATCCAAAATGTCAGAAATATAATCATAATTTTTAATTAGAAAAATCCAAAGGAAATTCTTATATTCTAATCTCGATGTAAATTCTATCAGGCATCACTACAACAGTTGAACTTGTATGTGTTTACTCATGAAAAAAGCAGGATAAATTCTCCCATTTTATTTAAGTTGCAAACCCAGGAGGCTTTGCTGCTGCTTCAAAATTTATTATTTCTTTTAATAGCCCAAAAATATTTTGATTGAGTCACTGGGTACCAGTTAAGAAAATACAAAATGTTATATTAATTTGGGAAGTTTTGAATTGTTTTCTATACAACCCCTTTGTTTTACATACAATATACAGTAAAGGACGTCAAGGATTCAGTTAAAGAGTAGGTAGAATTATAAAGATTTTAGTATCCCTTCTGTATTCCACAATAAAGAATATGGATGTTTTTCCTTTTTACAAAACAATGGTATAACAGGGTTTTCTATTTTTCTGTAGAAAAATTCAGAATTTTTATAGAAAAATTCAAATGCTATTATAAGAAACTGCCACCAGGTGGCACACATGTCAATGCTGCTACAATCCCTAAAGCTAGGATTTGTTTTTACTGGTCATGAACAGAGAAGTTTAAAATATTGTGGGTATTCAAAAAAACAACAAAAAAATTCCTTTAAACTATAAAATAAGATCAAAGTATATAAAATAATCAGAGAAGGAACTAAATCCAGATAAAACATTTTTGTAAGAAAGCTACATATCCATATATCTATTAAACTGTACGATAAATAATGTTATAGGAAAAAAGCGTTCTCATTTCCTAGTCAGGTAAAATGTTATTTGTAAATTTCTGATAATATAGCTGTAGAGTTACACTTGCTCTTTTCTTCACCTTCTTTCATATCAAGCTATTATAATAATTTCTAACAGGATATTTACTTCTACTTTCAAACCACTTGATAAAACAAAAACAACATGAAATTGCAAAAATCTAGAATTAAAAAAATGGGAAAGTATGAATGTAAAGGTGTATATAAGATTAAAGTCCTACACAGAATACCAAATACACATTCTCATCTACTAAGTTATTGCACAAGAACAGGAAGAGATCAGGTCCCCTTCTTCCAACACCTACAGAAGTGTAGCCACATGATTATGCAGTAAGTATCCTGAGTGGGGGCGCCTCGCTGGCTAAGTCAGTGGAACCTGTGACCTTTGATCTCTGGGCTGTAGGTTCAAGTCCCGTATTGGGTGTAGAGATTACTTTTTAAAAAATAAAATCTTTTTTAAGAAATGAAAACATTGGGGCTCCTGGGTGTCTCAGTCAGTTGGGCGTCCGACCCCAGCTCAGGTCATGATCTCACTGTTCCCACTAATCCCACTGTTCGAGCCCCATGTGGGGCTCTGTGCTGACGGCTCAGAGCCTGGAGCCAGCTTCTGATTCTGTGTACCCCTCTCACTCTGTCCCTCCTCTGTTCACGCTCTGTCTCTTTCAAAAACAAAGATTAAAAAAAATGTTTTAATGAAAAAGTTTGGGGCACCTGGGTGTCTAATTCTTGGTTTTGGCTCAGGTCATGATATCACAGTTTGTGAGTTTGAGCCCCACAACAGAATCCACACTGTCCATGCCAAACCTGCTTGGGATTCTCTCTATCTTCCTCTCTTTCTCTGCCCCACCCCACTCGTGCTCTCTCTCAAAATAAATAAATAGACTTAAAAAAAAAACTTTAATAAAAATCCCCAGTGACCATGTGGTGCTGTTGCCCAAATCCTTTCTGTTGTTCCTTTGGGAGTTGTTTCTGCATATTAAGGGTAAATTGTGGACCCCTAATACACATTTCAAGAAATGAGGATTGCCTTCTTTAGAAGCACTCTTACTGGCATAGATCCTGCACCACATCTGACTGCCTCCACGGCTGCCTGGTTCATCCACTATTACATGTTTGTTATTGCTGTTCTTTAACTTACCACATCATTAAAACACTTCTGGGCATTTATTTCTTTGAGGAGGAGAAGGAAGAAGGAGAAAGAAGCAGAGAAAGATGGCGGGTGTGGGGCAGGGATGAGAAGCAACCACATCTTCTATAGAAACCAAGTGAAATCTAAAATGTTACACACACTCTTAAAAATACCTTACCGACTACTGCTTTATCTTGGTCCAGTGGCGGAGGAAAACCAGTCGGAGGGCTCAATGCTAAAGAATTATGTGCATTGTTGTACGAGAAGAGGGTTGTAGGGGATGCCGGCAACGGAGAACGAGGCAAAACGGTTCCATCTGGCCTCTCAGGTAAATCAAGAGACATCTTAGAACCAGTACTACTTGGTGACAAGGATGAACAAAAAGGATCTTCCAAAGACGTGTAAGAATGTACCTTAAGAGCACTAGAGGCCTGCTGCTTTGCATTAGAGGCCTGGCACAGTTGGTGCTGAGAGTTAGATGGCAGTGAATAATTCAATTCTGCGGAAGAAACACGCATCGCGTTTTGAGCCCTCTCAAGACAAGAGTTGTGTGGTTGGGATTCCAAACACAAAACATTCTCCTTGGTGTCCAGCTCCTTGGGGTCTCTTTGTTGCATCAGTTCAAAGGAAGTTGATTTGGTCCGCGTTATCGGCCCCTTTGAATTAAAATATCCCCCTGCCATGCTCCCAGGTTTAGAACTAAACAAAACAGAGCTCCAGTCTAAACTCTGATGTTTCTGAAGAGGCTCCCCAATGATTGGAAATGCCTTGGGCTCCCATTTCATGGTCGCACTGGCGCTTTTGTTACAACCGCAGTTTAGCTCCAAAATGTCAAAAGAACTGCTCTGCTCAGCAGGGTGTAAAACTAACCCTTCCTTGTCACTTAGTTCAGGAGTCCTGAGGTCAAAGGAAGAAGCGTCTGCACTTTTCAGCCTTATCCTTTGTTTGTTCTGTGGGTTCATCATTTTTGCTTCTTTTATTCCACTGAAACAAAAAGGAAGCAATGATGGTACCCCAGTACCCCAAAGAGGACTCTTCCCGGCATCACGATGAGTTATAAGCATGAGATTTGCACTCCCCAACCCAATTAGCATTGAGGTGTGTAAAATTGTACTCACCTTTTTGGTAAATTACAATAAGACTCTGCTTCTAGGGGGGGATTTTGCTCAAGAACTGAATACTTTGCTTGAATCTTCAAGAAAAATAAGACATTGGTTGTTAGTGAAGAAATGGCAATGAGATATTTTATTTTACTTTATTTTTTAATGTTTTATTTATTTTGGGGGGAGTGAGCACGCCAGCAGGAGAGGGGCAGACATAGAGGGGGACAGAAGACCCAAAGAGGGCTCTGTGGGGCTCAAATTCACAAACCCATCAGGCTCAAACTCATGAGCCGCAAGATCATGACCTGAGTGGAAGTCAGACACTCAACCGACCAAGCCACCCAGGCACCTCAGCAATGAGGTATTTTAAATTCCCAAAGTTGAGAAGCTATTTTTCAGAAAACATAAAGAATTTAAATAGTTCATGAAAGAGATTTCCAAAATATTGAGTTTCTAAAATACTGAACCCAACAAGAACTTGTTCACATACTGAAGTCAAAGGAATCCAAGAAAAGGAATAATGTTATAGAAACTAGAAAAGGTTCACTTATAGGATCAAATATGGGAGTTTATGGGGGCAACTTCACTCTCAAAAACACCCTATCTTCCGAAATTACATCATCTCAACTCTTAATGTTAATAAGTGCTCATTAGGTCCTCAGATTTATTTCTACCTCTTTCTTCCTTAATATGCTCCAGCTATCCTGGTTTTCTTGCCATGCCTCAAGCATACCAAACTTGTTTCTAATTCAAGGCTTTTACACTTACTGTTTCCTCTGATTGCAATATTCTTGGCTCCAGATTTTGCATGGCTGGCTCTTTCTAAGTAATTATTCTCTACTTAAATGTCACCTGCATAAGAAAACTTTCTCTGACCACTCAACCCAAAATTATACTCCCACACACTTGTCAGCCTCTCTCTTTTTTTCTCATAGCCATTAGCACATTATGAAATATGTTACACAGAATCTTAGATACCATCCATTTGTAAGATATATACTGATTTTAGAGGCGTTTAAATCTATTTTTAAATGTTATTAGCAATTGTCAGATTCCACCTGTTAAGCGTTTAATTATGACTCAAAAAGAGATGTTGAAGTCCAACCCCTGATATCTGTGAATGTGACCTTATTTGGAAATAGAGTCTTTGAAGATATTTTTAGTCAAGATGAGGTTATAGTGGATTAGAGTGAGCCCTATCACAATGATTTGTGCCCTTATAAAAAGATAGAACAGAGACTCAGAGACAAACAGGGAGAATACCATGTGATAATGGAGACAGAGACTGGAGCAATGTAGCTGCAAGCCAGTGAATGCCAAAGATTGCTGGCAAACACCTGAAACTAAAAAGAAACAAGGAAGACACTCTAGAGCTAGGAGAGAAAGCATGGCTTTGCTGACACCTTGACTTTTGGACTTCCTGCCTCCAGGACTATGAGAAAATAAATTTGTGTTAAGTCCTCCTTAGTTTGTGATACTTGTTACAGCAAGCCTAGGAAACTGATGAGAGACATAAATACCCCACTTTCTATAATGGATACATCAGACAGAGGATAATATGGAAATAGAAGGCAGACATGAACAACACCATAAACCAGTTCGATCGAACAGCACATATATAACACTCCACCTAACAACATACACATTCTTCCCAAATTTATAGGGAACCCTGCCCAGGATAGACCATATGTTAGGACACAAAACAAGTCTTAATACATTTTAAAAGACTGACATCATATAAAGCATCTTTTCCAATTATAATGGATTGAAACTAGAAAGTAATAGCAGAAGGAAAACTGGAAAATTCACAAATTCTATAAATTAAACAACTAATGGGTCAAAGGAGAAATCACAACAGAAATTAGAAAACACTTAGAAATGAATAAAAATACAGCATACCAAAATGTATGGGATACAATGAAAGTGATATTCAGAGGGAATTTATAGCTATAGACACTAATTCTTTAAAAAAGAAAGATCTTGAGGTACCTGGGTGGCTGTCAGTTAAGCATCTAACTCTTGATTTCTGCTCATGTCATGTACGATTTCACAGTTGTGAAATCGAGCCCCACGTTGGGCTTTGTGCTGGCCATGGAGCCTATTTAAGATTCTCTCTTGCCCTCTGCCCTTCCCTCTCTCTTTCAGAAAAAAGAAGAAGGAGAAGGAGAAGAAGAAGGATCTCAAATCAATAATTTTATACCTAAGCAACTAGAAAAAAATCAAACTAAACCCAAAGATAGCAGAGGGAAAGAAATATTAAAGATTAGAGCAGAGATAAGGACTCAAATTACTAAAACCTCCAATTACAAAAATATAAGTAGATACATTACTGCCAATTTTACAGAAATAAAAAATATTACAAACAATAGTATCAACAATTGTACACTGACAAATTGTATAACGTAGATGAAATAGAAACATGTGATCAACCAAAACTAACTCCAGAAGAAATAGAAAATCCAAATAGACCTACAACTGGTAAGTAGTCTGAATCAGTCATCAAAAGACCTTCTGACAAAGAAAAGTCCAGGCCAGATGGTTTCATTAGTGAATTCCACCAAACATTTAATGAAGAATTAATGCCAATCTTTCACAAATTCTTCCAAAACACTGAATAGGTGAGAACACTTGCTAAGTCATTCTATGAGGCCAGCATTACACTGATACCAAAGCTAGACAAGGATACTATAAGAAAAAGAAAACTACAGATCAGTATCATTTATGATTATTATGCAAAGTCCTCAACCAAATACTAGCAAGCTGAATTCAGCATCATATTAAAAGGATTATATACCATGACCAACTGGGACTTATTCCCAGGATGCAAGGATTGATTAGCATATGAAAATCAACTGATCTAATACACCGAATTAATAAAATAAAGGGGAAAACCCCCATCTGACATGTCAGTTGATGCAGAAGAAAAACATTTGACAAAATTCATGATAAAAACACTCAACAACTTAGGAATATAAGAGAATGTCCTCAACATGATAAAGACCATGTATGAAAAACCTATAGCTAACATCATATTCAATGGTGAAAAACTAAAAGCTTTTTTCCTAAGATCAGGAATAAGACAAGGATGCCAATTTTTACAGCTTCTATTCAACTTAGTACTTAAAATTCTAGCCAGAGCAATTAGGCAAGAAAAAAGAAAGGTTATCAAAATTGGAAAGGAGGAAGTAACATTAATTTTGTTCTGATATGATCTCATATGTTGAAAGAGTCACACATGCATACAGAAAATCTAGGATAAACAAATTCAGCAAGGTTGCAGAATACAAAATCATCACAACAAACCCAGCTGCATCTCTATACACTAGCAATAAACAATCTGAAAAGAAAATTAAGAAAACAATTCTAATTATATTAGCATCATAAAATACTTAGGAATAAATTTAATCAAGGAGATGAAAGACTTATATACTGAAAACTACAAAACACTGCTGACAGAAATTAAATAATACATAAATAAAGGGAAAGACATCCTCTGTTCATAGGAATATATAATAATAATAGTACTCAAAGTGATGCACAGAGTCAATCAAATTCTGGTAAAAATCTCAATGGTGTTTTGCAGAAATAGAAAAATTCATCTTAAAATTCATATGGAATCTCAAGGGACCCTGAATAGCCAAAACAATATTGAAAATGAACAGCAAATTTGGAAGACTCATACTTCCTGATTTCAAAATATACTTGAGCACCTGGCTGGCTCAGTCAGTAGAGTATGTAACTCTTGACCTTGCAGTCATGGGTTCAAACCCCAATCGAGCATTGAGCTTACTTTTTAAAAATGTACTACAAAGGTACAGTAATAAAACACTATGGTACTGGCATAGGATAGCCATAAAGATCAATGGAATAAAATAGAGAGCACAGTAATAAATTCACTTCTGTGGGAAATTGACTTTTGGTGAAGGTGCCAAGACCATTCAGTAGAGAAAAGACTCTTCAACAAATGGTTCTGGGAAAACTGGACATCCACATGCAAAAGAATGAAGTTTTAAAACATTTTTTATTAATTTTTTTCATGTTCACTTATTTTTGAGAGAGAGACAGAGTCAGTGTGAGTGGGGGATGGGCAGAGAGCGACGGAAACACAGAATTTGAAGCAAGCTCCAGGCTCTGAGCTGTCAACACAGAGCCCAATGCGGGGTTCACATCCATGAACCATGAGATCATGACCTGAGCAGAAGTCAACCCTCAACCAATTGAGTCACCCAGGTGCCCCTAAACATTTTTTTAAACATTTATTTATTTTTGAGAGACAGAATGCAAGCAGGGGAAGGACAGAGATAGGGAGACACAGAATCCGAAACAGGCTCCAGGCTCTGAGCTGTCAGCACAGAGCCCATTGTGGGGCTTGACCCCATGAACCATGAGATCATGGCCTGCACCAAAGTTGGACACTTAACCAACTGAGACACCCAAGTGCCCCCAGAAGAATGAAGTTTGACTCTACGTTACATATATAAAAATTAACTCAGAATGGATCAAATACTTGAACATAAAAACTAAAACTATAAAACTCTTAGAAGAAAACACAGGAAGTTCCATGACATTGGATTTGGTAGCGATTTCTGGAAATGACACCAAAGGTACTAGCAATAACAGTAAATAGACAAACTGAACTTTCTGAAAAAATTAAAAACTTTTATGTGTCAAAGTACACAACAGTGTAAAAGGGCAACATACAGAATGAGAGACAGTATCTGCAAGTCACATATCTGGCATGGGACTAATAACCATAATATAGACAGGACTCCTAAAACTCAAAAGCAACAAAAACCCAATTTAATAATTGGCAAAAGACTTGATAGACATTTTTCCAAAGATGGTATATAAATGGCCAGTGAGCACATGAAACAATGTTCAACATTGCTAATCAGGAAAATTCAAACCAGAACCACAATGAGGTATTACTTTATACTCATTAGAATGTTTACCATAAACAAACAAAAATACAAAATAACAAGTACTGGTGAGGATGTAGAGAAATTGGAACCCTTGTACATTGCCGATGGGAACATTAAATGGTGTACTGCTGTTAAAAAGAGAATGGCAGTACCTCAAAAAATTAAAC